GTATACAACTGCTTTACCTCCATCTAAAGATCAATTTATTATTAATAATTCAGAAGCGTTTGAAGGTGTGGCAAAATTTAACGGATTGTGTAAAATCATAGTAGATGATCAGATAGCTCCTGTAGTGAGACCACCACGTAGAGTACCACTTAGTTTAAAACCTAAACTTGAATTAAAATTAAACAAATTAGAGAGACACTGCATTTTTGTAAAAGTTGATCAACCTTTGAACTGGGTTAGCAATCTAGTACAGTCAAAAGTCGTTAATCTGGACTCGTCGGGATTTCGGCAATTCCGGATTATCGATTTTTCCGGATTATAGATCATCAGTTTAAATCTGGTAAGATGGCATGCAGAAATTATAAAATTAAAAATATGAAACCGTAATTTATGAAATAAAGAACAATTATGATCTAAAGGGTATCAAAATTTACAAAAAAAAAAGGCTTAATATTTATTTGTTTACCTTGTTAAACATTTCTTTCAATGTAAGTTGTTTAAGTTGCTTCGTTTTATGTGATAATACTTTCTCTTTAATTCTATAAACATACATAATTTCTTCTTCAGTTACAAAGTTCCGCTGTTAACGTCTTATAATTGCTGTGTTGAGAATACCGACTAATTTGTCAATCGAAATTTTTTCGTTTTCAATGACCTCTGTATCACTTTCTTCTTTATCGGAAGCGAACTATAATGACGAGGAATTTGATTTAAATCATATCAAAGACGGAGTACATCGAGATGAAATACTACATTTAGTAAGGAATTATAAGCGAAATAAAATAAAAACATCTGCCCTGAAGATAAGGATAGTGCTGACAGATTAACTTCCAATTCATTGCGCGGCGTTTCAGCGTTTCCCCCCCCCTGGGGCCGCAGAGCAGCGTGAAATTGATAAACAGATTTCGGAATGGTTTGAGAAACGAAGGATATGCCTTTTATCCATTTTTTGCAGCAATTCCACTTTTTGTTTAATGGACTTCTAAACAGACTTTCGCTTTGTAGATCCTTTACATATTAGTAAATACATATCGGAAATTCTATTTGACATAATCGAAAGTTCAAGCTTACTTTTATAAAATTGCTCTAACAGTCTGCAAAAAATAATAAGCCGGATCCAATTCGAAGATTCAGGAACAACGCAATCTGCAACACTAACTGAATTAGATAATTTTAGCTTACCATTTGTTATACATTAAAAGCGCAAGTGTAAACGTATTACGCACATGCGCACACGCATATTCGCAGCCGTAAAAGTCTTGCGCGTATGCGTCGCGTTGACGCATGCACGTAAGACTTTTTGACTTTGTGAAGTCAGAAAGTTTGTAGCTTGAGGTCCGGATTATGGGTGTCCGAATTAACGACTTTTGACTGTAATAATTGAAAAAGCTAATGGATCCTTAAGAATATGCCTTGATCTCAAGATCTTAACAAAGCTAAAAAAGAGAACATGTGTTGATTCCACAATTGAGGAGATTTTACCAAAGCTATGTAATAAATCAATTTACTTTGTTTGGATTTACAGGGTGGGTTTTTTCAAATAGCGTTAGATAGGGAGAGCAGTGATGATTTTTGTACTTTTAGCACACCATTTTCATGCTATAAATTCTTAATGCTTCCAATGGATATTTCCTGTGCACCTGAAATTTTTTTTAGAAATGCACTCTTGAAAATTTTGGTAATATACCAGAATCAGAAGTATTGATCTATTTTTGATGACATCCTCATTGCCGCTAGCACCGTACAAAAACATGATAAAATTTTAGCAGAGGTCATCAAGAAAAAAAAAACAACAGAAGCTAAAAAACTCAATATTAAATTCAACAAGCAAAAACTTCAATATAGAGTTAGTGAGATTAAATATTAATTAGTTCATTTATTTAATGTATCAGGCATGCAACCTGATCCTGATCGAATTAAACCCATTACCGAGTTACAGGAACCTCAGAATAAGCATGAATTACAGCGTGTTTGGGGAATTTGTAATTATTTGAGGAAATCTGTACAACATTTTCAGAGAAAACAGCCATATTAAGGGAACTTTTGAAAAACAAAGTAGAATGGCAGTGGTTACAGCTACATTCTAAAGCATTCACGGAATTAAAAAAATTAATTTTCAACGCTCCTGTGTTAGGAATATTTGATAGCAGTAAACCTATCAGTATACAGGCAGATAGTTCTAAAGATGGGTTAGGTTGCTGCTTATTGCAGAATGGGCAACCAATTTCTTTTTCGAGTTTAAGTAATGCAGGAAAAAACTATGCTCAGATTGAGAAAGAATTTCTTAGTATTTTATTTGCTGTTAATAAATTTCACTATTACATTTATAGTAGAGAGGTAGAAGTGCTTACTGATCATAAACCATTAATTTCAGTTATGACCAAAAATATTGCTAATGTGTTGTCAAATAGATTGCAAAGGATAAAAATTAAGCTCTTGAAACTTAAATATCTGCCTGGGAAATATATGTATATTGCAGATTTACTATCATGTTCCTTTATTGATACACACACAAATGAAAACATGGATGTGACAGAGATTGTTCATACACTAACGAAACAATTGCAAATGTCTGAGAGTAAGAAAAGGGAATTTCAGAAAGCTACATTAGAAGATGAAGGGTTAATGTTAGTAAAAAGAATATTGGCAAAATGGATGGCCTCTGAGTGTTTGATTAAAGTTCCTAAAGGCACAAGATCTTATTTTATTTTAAATTTAAAAATGAGTTAAGTATTGAACAAGATTTATTATTTTTTTATTTATTTATTTATTTATTTATAATCGAATTGTAGTACCTGTTGCATTAAGGAAGTGTATGTTAACATTATTGCATGAAGCTCTGTGCGGGGTTGAAAAATCAAAAGCTAGGGCTCGACAAGTACTATTTTGGCCAGGAATCAACAGTGACATTGAAAATATGATTTCTGAATGCCTAATTTGTGATAGGTTCAGGCCTCAAAAAAAAAAACCTCTTTTGTTTCTCATAAAATTCCCAGTTTACCTTATGAAAAGGTTGGTGCTGATATCTGAATATGCGGGGGAAAGGTTATCTAGTAATGGCTGTTATTTAACTAAATCGGTAGACATAATTCCTCTAAGAAATAAAAGTGCAGTGGAAGTTACTAGTAAATTGAAATCGATATTTACAACACATGGAATACCCAAAACTTTAATTTGTGATAATGTACCATTTAACAGTTGGAAAATGAAGAGTTTTGCAAAGGATTGTGGATTTGAAATAATCACTAACAGTCCTCGATAAAATCTAATGGATTTGCAGAGAAGTTGGTAGGTATAGCTAAGAGTTTATTTAGAAAAGCAGGATTTGAGAAATTAAATGATGCTTTACTGGAATATAGAAATACTCCAATTTCAGGTATAAATTTATCACCAAATCAAATGCTGTTAAGTAGGAATTTAAGAACACAATTACCAATTACACAAACAGAATTGCAACCAACTGTAAAAGATCAATATAGAGAAAAGGTGAGGAGTAAGCAGAAACAGGCTAAAATCTATTATGATAAGAATGGAAGGGAAAGACCTGAATTTATTCATGGGGAAAAGGTAATGTTGAAATGGAAAAATAAATGGGAGCCTGCTATAGTTTTAAAAAAGCATTCAATTCCTAGATCATATTGGATTAGAACAAAAGATAATAGGGTAATTAGATGGAAACAATTCCATTTAAGAAAAACTAAAAATCAGAAGAATTTAGTGACATTAGACTATTATGATCTATGTAATAAGAATGAGGAAAATAGAAAAATAGTAGAACATCCAAAAATACATAAGATCCTCCCATCAAGATAATAGCAATAATATTAATCGGATTGTGTATATAAAACAAAGAAGTTGTCGTAATGTGTATATCGACTATCCAAATATGATAATTATGTAATGCATTGATTCCTATGACTCTCCCAAAGAGGGGAGATGTTACATATATGTGGCAACACACTAGTTGCTGGTCGAATTGAAGTAATTGTCAGTTGATGTTGGTTTTGTAATAAACGATGTGCTATGTAAAACCTGTGTAATGTCACTTAATTATTGATCTAGCAATATTAATATGAATATAACAAAGCTTGCTTGTTAATTATCATAAGTAATAATTTTTGTGCCTAAGAAATAATGCTTTTATGACTATGTAATGTGGAACATGAGAAAATATTTTATTCTTATTGTGATTATTTTCTGGGGGGGGGTTGATTCTGATTAATCTATTTACTCGGATTACCATATGTGACAAATTAAATTACATGTAATAATTTCTTAATAAATTAAAGGCAATAAAAATCTCAAGCTGTTTAAATTCATATCTTATTTTATGCAAAAGTTTTTATCAAATAAAATAAAACTGTACATTATATTTCATCTAGAAAATATGCATGAAAGCTAAAAAAATGCTGTTTGATTCATTATATGTTGGTTGTTATAAAATTTGCTACTATCATTACTCTTTTCTTAATTTGTAGCATTTTTGAAAATAATAGTAGGTATTTAATACTGAGTTAATAATTAAAAAACATTCTTATATGTAAGTGTTTAATAATTATTAATTGTTATTTACATTGTATAAACTGTCTCATTTTATGTATTATATTTTATTTTAGTATAGTTATTGTAATGAATAATTTAAGGGCAGAGTGAATTTTTTTATTTAGAATCTTGTGTATTCAGTTTTTTTTTTTTTTTTTTTTTTTTTTTATGTTTTTATTTTTATTTATTTATTTTACATAGATATATATATAAGGGAAAGGTGGGATGACTAAATCTTTCAATGTTGGGTTAAAAAAAAAGTGGTCTTGCTTGTCAGAAAATTTACGCTTTTGGTAAAACTGTATTTTTTTATAAAATAAAAATTTTCGTGTTTCTTTCTTCTTTAATAAAGTAACAGCAAATGGAAAATTTTGAACCTGAAGACTTGTTTCAGAGAAATCGACTGTTAAACACTAATTTTTTTTTTTTTTTTTTTTTTTTTTTTTTCTCCCTTGCAGCTAAACCTGTAATATTTGATTGTCTAAAATATGCTCCTGAAAAGAGTGTGTTAGTTATTTGTTCTGTTGGCAATAGGAATGCGTAAGTTTATTTTTTTATTATTATTATTATTTTGCAACTGTTGTATATGCAAAGATAATTATATATAAGTGACCTTTTCTTCTCTCAGTATCTATTGTTACTTGAAATAGCTGCTATATGATAATTCTAATAAGTAAAAGATGGATTGGCTCAAAAGTAGCTTGTTTTAAAATAAAGTCTGAAACTCTGAAATAATTTGGAATGCTCATTTTCATCACTAAGAACAAACATTACTTATTTACTTTCATGACCAGCTGGAGAAATACAGTATAGTCAGTTGTGTAATTTAGTTTAAATATCCAATCAGCCAAGAATTTGGTTGTAAAACTCTGCAAGCTCTCCTAAAAACTGGGGGAAAAAAGTATCATTTGATAATAATTGCAGAATGTCTCTATTCATTATATACCTGAATTGTTTTCCATCGATATAAATGGTCTGGATACATTAGAAGACACATGCTTAAATATATTGAGAAAAATATTGTTGAATCTATAAAAATGATTTAGCCAGTTGGAGGATTAATTTCCATTTTTATCTCTTTTTTTTCACATATGATCATTTCCTAAAAATTTTGAAAGCTTTTTATACATAAATTAAATGCAAAATTAGCATTGCTAATTTTACCCTTGAAAAATAACTTAATTCTGATATCATAGTGATTCTCATCCTTTTTTAACCCTATTTCTGCCTTTTCCCTAAATGTTTAGAATCTCATTCAATTGTAAGATTTTTTTTTCGCTTAACTGATATCATTTCCAATAATATGTAGCATGAAAATTTTAAATGTATTATTTAAAATACTGCAAAGATACATATAAATTAAAAACTCTTCTTATTTAATGAATATAAATTATTCTATATATAATTTATAAATATGGAAACATTTCTGATTATTTTATTTCTCTTATATGAGGTTCATGTTTTAGTTCTTTAGGCTTTAAACATATTTTTATGCTATGAGCATTTTGGTGCAGCTTGAGTCTGTCAGTCTTATGTAGAATAAATCTCTCTGAAAATGTTTTAACTCTTTTGCATCGAAGTCACCTCAAACGCCCGACCATTCAGACATCAGCAGGTCACCCAAACGCCTGAATCATTTTCTACCTGGTACTTTCCCCTATCATGTTAGTGCATGGCTTATTGCTTTTCGGAGATATTAAATGACGTGCCAATCATTCTTTTGAAGCAACTAAAAGTAGTTGTGTGATATGAACACACCTTCCTTCTCCTTTGTGTAGTGTCGATGTTTAGCTATTGATGCTCCAAATTGCAATCCTGTCCCAAGGTAAACTGCACACAATGGTGAAAACGTATGAAGATTTACTTGAGTATGTTATTGTTAGTGCTGTAGCATTCTAATTGGCATGGGGGAGGAAATCCATTTCAACAAAAATATAGATATATGGACGTTTCAGTTGTTTGAATGAAACATATTCTGGCCTCTACTGAAGTAAAAGAGTTAATTCTCTTTCACCATAATAGATTTTCCATGATCCAAAACAGGCATTTAGTTTCTTCTTTCATGTATTTACTTGCAAAAGTTTTATTTTATATAGCATATATATCTTTTGTTGAAATATTGTAAAGAATTCCTAGAAGCATTAAAAGCAAATTTAACTTTCCAGATACTTGAAAATTTTTTTTAAAAAATCCATGAGTATATTTCTTGTAAGTTCTACATGAAACACAAAGTCATTTAGCATTGTATCTGTAAAGCTGCTGTGAGAAGGAATTTGTTATTTAAAAAAAATTCACCTAAAGCATCATCTAATTTTTAACATTTGGTACTGAATAGTTTATCTGTTTTTTTGTGGAGTCATCTCGAGCTCCAGCTGTTCCTGTTGTTTCTGCTTAAATTTAAATGATAAGACTACAATTATCATTTTTAGTTTAAAACTAGAAAGAACAGATTTCTAACATTAATTTTTTCTTTACTTTTTGAAACTTCACATAACTGTTTTAATTGACAAGCCTTTGGAATGATAAATAGTAATTTGAAATGTTCGGATTGCTTTTTGCTGTTATTGTTTTATTGTGGTAGTTAAAATGTTCTTAGATATCTTCAAAAATCTTCTTTTTGTAGGTGGAAAGATCCAAATAATGATTTCCGCAAAGATGAGCAATTGAAGCTTACCTGTGTTCCTACGCTTATTAAGTTTAACACGGTTTGTATACATTAATACAAAGTATTTTTGTGCCTGTTTTTTTATTACTTAATTTTGTTTTAATATGTCATTCCTGTGGATAACTTGTACACCATGAAATTAGATACAATATAATATTAAGTATATAAGTAATTTTTTTAAATTTTGAAATCTCGTATATTTTTTTGTGTAAGCCAAAAATTTTCAGAAATTTTCCTAAAGCTAAATTTTGGGGTCAACTTATATACAGATCCGCTAATCTTACGAAAAATGTAGGTACTTTTCTGTTAGTCAGATGTGGGTGATAAACTCCCAAATGTCTTGTCTCTTTTTTTAAAAAAAATAATTTATATTTAAGTTTAATTTAAAATAAAATGAGTTGTTTCATTTTTTAAATTGTTTATAATGTTGGTTTGTTGCATCGTTACCGAAAAGAAAAAAATCCGATGTTGGTGAAATTTACACTCAGCTTTTTCCATTCTTGAACATGTTTTTCATTTACGAAGCTATTGCTGAGCAGTCTTACTGTTGCTAAAATTTAGCAAACGCAATCACCTGTAGTTTGAAATATGCCTTATAAGACTTTCTTGATCCACTTGTCTTTCAAGCAAAAAATTATATAGTATGAAAGATAAGACTAACACAGATACCACAGGTTTTATACAACAAATGAATGAAAGCATGTGCTAGCTTCCAGTAGGTTTACAGAGTTAACATTGTTGTCATTGGTGCTTAGCACTTTATTTTACAGCAGTTTGACTGAAAAATGTTCCACCCATTTTACCTGCTTGGCAACATGTTTATACATTGCAGGAATTTTTTCTCTCCATTTTGGCTTATATATGCAAGTTTTGAATTTGGGTAAATTTTTGAAGAAAAAGTACAATCTCAGGTTATGTGTAGATTGACTGATGTTCAGAAATATATGGTATTGTTATTTATCCAATTAAATGCAATTTAGAACTTTGCTTATTAAAATTATATGAAACTGCAGGCTGAAATCATGTGATGTTACAATGCATACAATATTTGAAAATTCAAGAAATTTAGAAAACAAGTGTTATTTAATAAAATAATAATCGATGTATAAATATTGAATATACATTCTTTGTCAGAAAAATTAAAGGAAAAAGGTTGTAAAAAATAGAAAATTTCATTTACCAAGTAATGATCCTAGCTGCTATCAAAGTAGTCCCCTTGGCTGTCTATATGCTACTGCCAACATTTGTGGATGTCTTAGAAGCAAGCAGGGAAATCTTCAACTGCAATGTTTGCAAGCTCATTTGTCACAGCCCATTGGGTGTGTGTAATAATCTTGATGAAGTTTTCCTTTCAGTCACCTTTTCACTCATGGAAACGAGAAAAAAATCACAATAATCTTTGACACAAATGTGGGATCACGTCTGTGTCTATCCAATAGTTTAGCAGAAATTCTTCATCTTTCCTTCTTTCTGTTCATCTGCAAGTTAGTGACGATTATTGCTTTAAGTTTTGTTTCCTTAAATCTTTATATGAAATCGTATGACACGTATAATGATTCAAATTTATTTCTTCTGATATCATACGCAAAGTTACATGACGGTCTTTTTGCAATAACTACATGCAATAAATACATTTACACGCTCCACCTTGGCATCGGTATGTGCTATAGAAGGGCAACCAGCTCTGGGATCATCTTGCACTGAATCTCTGCTTTCGCAAATCCTTTTGAGCCACTTAAAAACATGACTTCTTGAAAGTATAGAAGGAGATTCCATTTGCCTTGCCTGCATATGCTTGCTTAATCATGTTCCACGTCTCACTGGGGGTTTTCCAGAGCTTAACACAAAACTGAATGTTCACTCTTTGCTCACAATCATCATCCATTGTGTATGTCACTTAACAAATGCGACAACAATCCAAATGGAATCTTCCCTTCTTTCAGAATTTTCTTATAAAAACAATTATTAGCTGTGCCTCAAAGATATTAATACTGATATATTATTACCTGCTTGTTTTGGGCTTACCAGCAGGGTCAGTGTTAGACATTTGGTCACCTTATGCAATCTCAGCAGTTCTAAATTCTGCTGCCCACTGCCTCTCTAAACTGTAAACATTCTGCCGTTTCTAATTACTGCTACTTAATGGGACTGCACCGTTTCTAGCACTGGAGGAGTCTTATTTTCAATTAAATGCAGCTGTTGCTAAAATTTAGCAAATGTTGGTGATAGCAGTTGTGATATGGGCTTTCAAAGTCATGGTCATTGAACGTGGAGGCACATATACCAGATCCTTTACAAGCCCTCTCCAAAACAAATCATTGAGGGTAATGTAATCGATGTCCCATGTCTTCTCGTTTCAGTTGTTGCACTTATTGCAAAAAATAGTTTCATCTGCAAGTGCTTCCTAAGGATTCTCCATACAGTTTTCTTTTGTTACACCCAGTTTTTGTGCAGCTCTTCTATATGGGGAATTTGTGAGATAGCTGTTTTGAATATACTGAACTACATGTTCTCCTGCTGAAAGGACGACCTGATGATTTTTCTTTGCAAATGCAGCCTTTCTCTTGAAATTATGAAAACCAGTTACGAATCACCTCATTGTCCGATGCTTGTGTCCATATTTCGTTTGGAGTGTCCCTGAACAGTGATAATAGACTTGCTTACATGATACTCAGGTGCACAAAATGCTTTCTGCTGTTGCAGAAAAAAAAGATTGTCAATCAAAAAATCTCAAGTTTCCTGTTGCGTCATCATATTACGAAGTTGTATCTGAATGCTGCGTATTCCTTCTTTGTATTCGCATAAACTCATTGTACTAAATGCTTACAGCAATTGTGTTTACTTTGGCTTCTACTGGTGAAATGTGAAATTACAAACTGCTATTCGTCATTCAAATTTTCAGACTTAGCAATGTTGATTTTCCCGAAGTTATGAGTCTTTGGACAAAGATCAACAATACCTTTTCGAGACAGTTATTGAGTGAGCACAGGAACAGATGAGTGTGAATGTGCAAAATTCGAGACTTTTAGTGACTTAGAAAATCTGCTACTGATGGTGTGATGTGCCAAGATCCAGATTTTGAAGTAATAAGAAGAGACTGAAATTTGACTCTCAGTTAAAACAAGATTAGTGGAATCAAATAGTGTAGGACTCCTTGAGTCCTTACTATTGACTTAAGTATGCAGACTTAAGTCCCTCTGCTTTCTCTCGGTGTGTATTTGACTATGAAATTTTAATTTTTTTAGATTTTTCTCTAGATATGACAAAATTGTGATTTTCTTGTGTATTTAATATTTTAAATTGTCCTTGGAATTGTATAGCAAGGCTATGTAATTATTTAGGGTATGTTTTCTGCACCTGTCAATATAGTTAAGAACCTGATTATTGCATTATAATGATCGAACCTGGGTAGTTTCCTAATTGTAATTATATAAGTACTCTTCACCTCCTCCTTTCGTGTAGTGATAATAACCTAAAACAAAGTGGTAATGTTTTTTTTTCCGGGGGGGGGTTATATTTAGGATCTTAGATTTAAAAGTGAATATTTATTCAGGAATTTATTCCTGAGATTAGAATAAGTTGTATTTGTGTCTAGTTTGATTTTAATATGTTATTGTGATATTTAGAAAAAGGTAAAAATGTAGTAGGTAAGATTTTGAGTTATTTTGGAATATGTTTTGTCCATGACAGATATGGTTGTTGAATGGTCAACATCACTTTGTAAATCGAACTTGGGTTATTAAATCAATTGCAGTTGTATTGTACAATTTGCCACCACAACTTGTATCAAAGTTTTGGCGATTCACTTGTTGAAACTCAATATCTAAGAATAGCAAAGCTCGTCGAAAGAACAAAGCAGGTAAACTAAAAAATGCATTCCACTTTTTCGATGATTAATGATATATCGCACAGATGCTTGAAATGTGAAATACATTTTCCACATGATCGCACTCTAGTTTTTCAGTATCCTAGGACAAATTATGTATGATCATCACACGATAAAAAACAGTATTTAAACTCGTTAACGGATTGTGGCATATATACATGTATTAATGATCAACAAAATTACTTTGTTTTTAATTTCAATAAAAGTGGGTTGCTGCATATTTTTTCTTTTTAAGTTTTTTAAATTTCATTGGAAAGCTCTTTTTTGTTTGTATGTTTTACATATATGCAATTTTTTTAATAATGTGATGTTTGTTAAAATAAAATTTGGTCTGTTCCAGTATTACAAAAGTATATTTGGCCAGCAGAAAAGATAAAACAATCCTCCAGGTTAATTGAATGCCTGTCTGGAATCGCTATGGCATCATTAAGTCCCGTTACTTAAAATTTTGTTATGGATATAATTGTTTATCATTAATTCTGTAAATATATGTGGAATAACTGTTCTGTTGTCAACTGTCTGACTGCTTATTAATATTGTATGGAGCTACGAAAAATTCTATATTACTCGATTCATTACTATAAAAGATTCACAAAAATGTATGACTGTGTGGAAATTTTCACATTAACTTTCATGATTTTCTAAAATGACCTAAAATTCAGAAATAATATATATATTAAAATTTTTGCTTATTTAGCTTTGATTCTGTTCATGCTTCTTTGATTAAATTGTATGAATGGCAGTAATAAATTATAATAGTGTAAGAATAATGAAAACAATATCATGAATTGGGACTATTTGTTACCTTATGCAATAGTTTCTTTTGGGCATTTTCAGGCACATTTTCAGATGATTTAATTTTATTAACATGGAAGATTATTTGCGTATAATATAGTTAGTGGCATATAAATACAGTACAAATAAAAGAAAATTCAGAAAAGGAAACAAAGGATTCCAATAATGTTCTTAATTTCTCAAAAACTGATTTCTGATGAATTTGCTATTGCCAATAATGAAACTAAACATCTGGCACTTGCACTTCAAATCTCATCATTGAATGCAGTTTTTACCCATTATTCTACAAAAATTTTAACAATACTGCCATAGAATGTGAATGAACTGTATAAGAGCTGGCATTCAGGGAAATTTGACAT